TCTAAATTGAGACAAACCCCATACATAACCCGCCCCAGCACACAGAGATCATGTTTTTATCAACTCACATGATTGTGCGAGACCGCATGTAGAGAGTTGACTGATGGCGCCATTAAACTTACCCGGGGTGCAGTCTGAATTGATAACGGACTTTCTAATCCATTTATGGTGCTTAATGAGCGCTTGTGTGGTAAGATGGATCACTCCAACACAAGTAAAGGGACTCTGTCGCTAATCCATCTTCTCACAATGTCGAAATATGTATGTAGAAAGAAATGAAAATCGATGGAACAACCCGTAACTTATCTTATTTTTTCGATTTCAAAAGATTTTCAGACAAAACTATGCTAATTATGTGATAGCGTGACAAAATGGCATAGACTCTACGATTAAACATGCAAATATCTACACAGTTGTATACGCATTGCCAGCTTTTTCGAGAATAGATTGGACTACAACACTGCCCTGAAAGTTCAATCACCCCAGTTTTTTAACCTTCATACGTCAAACACACATTTCCTGCAAACGGCTGCAAAGGACTAGCCTGGGTACCATCCGGTACGCTTGAAAACGACAATCCGGATGGTACCCAGTCTAGCAAAAGACTATTTGATTTTTGTTCATACATAGTTTGCAGGTTTCATATAAAACAAACTTAACGTTAACTCAACTTTAACTCAGTTAAAATAACTGTACTACTCATGTGTGTGTTCTGTTGGATCCAGAGTTCTAGCCAGCTTGAAATTTTTCCAACATCTCAATTTAACATCATGTTAAACGCCGAAGGCGAGACGCACGACAATCGTAGTGGGGTCTATTGACATGCTTCCCTGTGAAAATTTTAAAATCTTGACTCTCTGAAATTCTATTTCCTGCATTTTGAAGGACAAATTTTGCTAGTTGACTAAGCATTCTTTTGGTGAAAACCTATACACTCTTTCTACATTTCTACACGCTGATTTTTTGTGCGTCAATGTGACGGATTGGACAAAATTTTGTCTCTCAAATGATTGAGTGATCGACGCAGGCTAGAACACTGGTAGGATCTGTTGGAAGGATCTATGTATCTTGCGCTTTCTGAGTTCAGTTGACTACCAAAATTCACGTGACACGAGGCATGTATTGATCTGATGCCCTAACACAAACTTCGCAAATCCCGCCATTAAATCAACGTCATCCCGGCACTGTGATACAAGGAGATGCACTCCACAAGACAGATGAACGTGTCTTGCGGGTAATCTTAAGACATAATCCTTCTGGTGTGTATAGGAGATGGGCTGTCTTCGCCCGCCTTATGCTTTGCACACCGGGAGTCTTCCCTAACCTTTTGTTGGTCCCTTTTCAAGTAACACTACGTAGTTTAGCATGTTGGGTGAGTTATGGGCCTCAGAAGATGTTTGAACTACTTTTGATCAATGATTGGTAAAGATGTTGGCAAAAATCACTCTCATTACAGAATACGTGCCTGAGAAGAAATAGACTTGTGTCAATGTTTTGGCCTATGATAAAAGGTATCCTCTTTGTATGAAATCAAGTAAGGAAAAGATTCGGTATACCTCGTTTGATTTTGTATACAATGACATAAATATTCGTGAAATTCTCTCTGGGAGACAAGAGGGGCATAGAATAAACCTTTTATTTTGCTGTACCCTTCTACTTCTCCGATATTACAATACATGAAGGTACATGTAATTCAATGAAACGAGAGAAAGAAACTGATTTTCTTTCTAAATTGGCGTAGGTCGCCGTGTGATTTTGATTTCCAAGCAACCTGAAACTAAGTCAACGGCCGACAAAGACTAGGACAGCCATTTCTGTAAGAGAACAGCTGCAGCTGGATTCTATACGACACATGCACGACTATCATAAGAATGCCCTCAGTACGACGTGCGACGATCGTAAGGAAAATATGACCAGACCCTTTGGCACAAATGAGGCACTTATAAGCGTAGAATACTGGTCCTCTCCTTGGTGCTGAAATAAAAGTTCATTCCGTTATACCTCGCTCTAGACCGGTTGATTGGAGATTTTCTATATCTTCTTTCTAAAACAATAAGCCTGACAAACAAGGCAACGGATATTGGGCCTTTCCTTGGTGCTGAAATCAACGTTCCGTGTATTCTACCTCGCTCTAGGCCGGTGGATTGGAGATTTTTAAACAAGGAGCGTGGCAAACAAACAGCAAAAGTGGCACTAACATGTATGTGTAGTGTAGTGTATTGGGCCTTTCCTTGGTGCTGAAATTAAAGTTAAGTGCACTATACTTCACTCTAGACCGTTTGATTGGAGATTTTCTATATCTTCTTTCTTAAACAAGGAGCGTGACAATCAAGGCAACGGCAAAAGTGGCGCTTACATGTATGTGTAGACTGTTGGTCCTTTCCTTGGTGCTGAAATGAAGTTCCGTGTACTCTACCCCGCTCTAGGCCGTTTGATTGGAGATTTTCTATATCTTCTTTCTAAACAAAGAGCGTGACAAACAAGGCAACGACAACTGGCGTTTACATGTATGTGTAGTCTATTAGCCCTCTCCTTGGTGCTGAAATAAAGGTTCCCTCCGTTATATCTCGCTCTTGGCCGTTGGATTTGAGATTTTTCTATATCTCCTTTCTAAAACAAGAAACGTGGCAAACAAGGCAACGTCAAAGAAGGCGTAGTCTATTGGGCCTTTCCTTGGTGCTGAAATAAAAGTTCCTTCCGTTATACCTCGCTGTAGGCCGTTTGATTGGAGATTTCCTCAGAGAGCCGTCAATTAGCAATGAGCGATGGCATTGCCTGCACGTCGGAATGACATCGGATATTCTTATCAACTGAGCGGCTCAGCGGGGACCAGAATTGATGGGTACGGCGGGGTGACACAGCTGTGCCGCACTGACAAATACATGTAGCCGGGCGGAGAATGTAATACATCACAACAACGATGTCTGTAGGGAGTATAGAACCTATCTAGCGTTTTCAATTTGTTTTGCCTTCAAAGACTTCCAGGAATGACACTCTCTAACACCGTAAGGGATCCCACAAAGCCATATTTACGCACCTGTGTGTGCTGTAAGGCATTCTCCGAAAGGCACCATTGTGGTTCGCATTATATAACATTGTAAGACTTGCAGGAGGCATTCTGTAATGTCTATATTTCATTCCGTTGGCCTTTCTTTGGTCTCCTGGGAATGGAATGGCGTTTGTATATTCTGGTGTAACCTTCGACAGGATTAGTTTTGATAGCTAAGTATGGTTTTTCCTGGTGCAATTTTGCGTGGTAGTGCGGTTTAAATGATGATTTGCGGGTTTACTTCAGGATGTAACTCCGTGTTACGACTATAATTTACAAGAAAATGTCCTAATCTAGATCTCATAATTTGTAGCTTAGCACACCCACACCGTGGTGGCTGACACTTAAACAGTAAAATAAGATGTCATACCGTCTATTAAAGCTACAAACACACGATTGAAAATAATCTCTAAGCATATCTTTTGGCTGCAATATAGTATCAGAGTGGCAAGACAGTATCATTGCCAGTATCTAATACGCCAAATAAAAAAGATATCAGGATAAAATACCGATAAAAAGGCCTAAAACACGTCAGAAATATGCCGAAGACTAAACCGCTGCTTGGAGAGTACAGCGGGAACTATTCAACAGGAAATCCAATACTGTTGGATTTCTATTGATATGCATTGATATTGATATGCATTGCTTTGTATATGCCGTCGCTGTACAGAAGACAGCCCTTGGTGCGTGCAGTATCCTTTTTTTTCTCGGATGTTCCAGTCGATAGTGTCGCGTATGGAGATCGTAGACGTGACATGTACACACCGTAACGTAGATACGCGAGACGAACCCAATACCGTCTTCATCAGAAATGCATGCGTGGATGTACGCCTGATAGAAACATTCGTCTTCCTCAGCCCCCCCCCCCCCCTCCGGGGCACAGAAGGGCTACTTTAATTGAATTAGTGATGTGGGCAGTAGACCGATGGCCAGATTGATAAACCAAGAAACGCCTATCCGTCTTCAGTCGACACATTACACAGCACGACGTCGTCTGGCGACGCGATTGGAGAAGAGATTTTTGGGGATCAAAGGGTGCCGATGGTGCATCATTGATCACGTGTGTTGGACATCCGTAACCTAAACCGGGTTGAGTTGGGGACATCTGTATCTGTATCTGTATAGCCGGTATAACCGCCCTTCGGCGTAACACACCAGCTTCGCAGGCACGCGGCGCGGCGGCATCTGGCTATATTACACCGATCGACTTGTTACACCTAACCCTTGAACTTCTACTTCTAGACATTGTTTAAAGCTATCTAATGACAATGCCCCTACTGTACTTGGTGACAGTGAGTTCCACTCTGCGATATAGTTCTAGGAAAGAATGAATTCTTGAACACCTCAATCCTTGACATGGGATATTCTACTCAGTCTGGAAGCTTGATAGGACATCTAACTTTTAGAGACCGAATGGATCAGACTAGAGCATTGAATTAGGTTTACGTTGCTGCTTTGTATGACTGATAGTAGCTTTGGTTGTTTGTTTACTTCCGGGTAGGGAAGTATTGTTTTGGGTGGCCGAACTGTGAGTTGTGTGTCCTTCTGTCCAGACAGAGAAGGTTGACAGCACGTAGATGGGGAAGATTGACAGAATTCGAAAGAATGGCTGTAGGCTAAAATTGGGGAGGTAAACTTGAGAGTAGGTTAATAGCATATTTGGGTAGGGGGAGATTAACATGTAGAATGACAAAACATCAAAAGGTCAGACACAGGAAATGGGGTGAACTTGAAGGTCACGAAAACCATGGAGGTAAAAAAATCACATGTGATTTTTCTACCTCCATGCGAAATTCAAATGCAAAATAATTTTCGGATGTCTAATATTTCCGATTTCTTGTTTTCCTTGTAACAGTATGTGTTTTTTTATAGCATTATCATTGTACAGATTTGTACTCCTTACTATTTTTCATAACTCATAGGTGTTTTGTCAATATTGTTTCTTTCCCAGTGACGTTCCTGGGCTGTTACGAGGACAGTGTTGTTCCCTCCCTCCGGACGCTACAGGAAGAGTTCCTGTCTGACTACAGACGGATGACGGTGGAGAAATGTCTCAACCACTGCAGAAAAAGGTCGATCTTTATATAGCGTTCAAGGCATACTTCTTTTATTTGAAAAAATAAAACTTTATTGTTCTATCTGTACAGCTGTACAGAAAGTAAGTACAACTGGTGACTGTTAACATTCTACGTAATCCTACAGATATGCAGGCAGTCACAATATCTCATATGCTTTGTTAAAAAAGCACTCAGATTTGAAAAGAGTTACCATGTGAAAATGATGATTCGTTCCATACTTAAACTTACAATTGGCGTTTTCCTCAACAGTATCACTTCATTCATGTCTTAAAGTTGTTCTACTTTGGAAATGTGATATCCTAGGATTACATCTGTTTAGTTAACGTAGTATTCTATAATAATCCATACTCAAAAAGTACTTTTCAACTTATAACCATTAACCTTTTTTTACAATTTTGTACACGCAAAAAGATGTGTTCAACAGAATCACAGACAGTACATCTTGATTCATGTCTAACGCATGAACGAACACTTTACATCATCAATAATTGCACGACTCCGTTATCTATCTAGGACAGATCTGATTAAGAAGAACGATCCAAGTCGATTGATTGGTTACTACATAATCAGACCTCGGGGTAAGGAAGTACAGTCTTCAGTGTAAATGATGAGGCGCCAATTCACAACGTTACTTATGATTATCATATCAAGACAGACAATTATAATTGGAAGCTAGTACATAATTTCTCAATGCCGTTCTGTATTAAAGAATAATTATTCATTTGTAACTATTAATGACAAAATGCATCGATCAAGTTCCTTGTTCTAATCAATCTAATAAGTTGAAATTTGAAGAACTTTTATATGCATTTTATATTATTTTATATGATTTTGGGTGAGTCCAGTCTTTTGTGTTGGCAATTACAATTCAATCTTGTTTCATAACTTTTATATACATCGACAACATAAGAAGAATTCCACCGACAGTCAAAATCGTATGCAAAAAGGCACGCTTGACACAGTATACCAGAGAAGCGTTCCAAACATATCAAACCGAGCTGCACAATACATATACATGGACAGCTGTGGAATAATACGTCTTACACCACAGACTTTAATCGATATTTTTTTCTTATGAACGTTTCTGCTACCTTGCATCTGTATTCGAATTTATTGAAAACGTGTCACGACCTAGCCGTGACACCACTTCGTCGTATTGACACAAAACTATCGCCCAAATCCATTATAGAGTTTTAGTTCTCGTGCAATTCAAAAAGTCTAAAAGGAACCGTACGTACGCATTGTAATGCAACATGCGTTGCTCAAGTACAGATTCTCCAATAGGTCATGCTTTGTGTGTGAAAGCATTCCTAACTATTGCGTTACTTACGTAGAAAAGACTGAAAGGGAAAGAAATCATGACTGGATTTGAAACGGGCTTGAAAATCTTTAGTAATGTACGTAATACCGACTTTGCAGTTGCCAATTCTTCAATGCAAACTTCAACGAAATAATTGCTTCGATCGTTTTCAGTTTTTGTGGAACGTTTAGACGTGACACTGTACATTTTTTATTCGCCTGGAATTCTAAGAAATCTTTCTGTAATAAGTTATAGGTTACATGGAAACTGGGATAAACAAACTTAAAAATCTACAAGATATCAAAACATTTAAAAGAGGCACCGTGCTTTTTCTTCATGTGCCTGTATTTCCAAGAAATGTTTTGTAAGTTACATGGACCAACCAAAGGCTAAAAGAGATTAAGCCCCCACTTGTAACCCTGGCTGTGATTGGTCACCTAGAAGTAAGTCGTACTAAGAGGGAATGAAAAAAAAAACGCACTGAGAAGCAATTTAAGTCTTGTGATGATAATAGGATTTTCTCCATCGATTCTCATCCCCAATTTTTATTCTTCTGGTGACGCCACATTAAGCCTCTCGGCAGTTCCAGCAGCCTGGTGTAATGGCGAATCTATCTCAATTTGATATGTTTCACACAGACAGCCCGTCTAATTCTATTGTAAAATCAAATATATCGGACGGAAAAACACGGCTGCAATCGTTCTTTAAGGACCTATTCTTATTCCTTGGAAGGAAAATCGAATAGTTGGAAGAACGCCAAACTGGGATAAGATGTGTGTGGACCGCTTAGCTGTATGGAGAAGACATTGTAATTATTTTACATTTACATGTATAAGGTGCACCTGACTATTACGTTTCTTGTGTTTCTTTTCGATGAGTCATAGTAGAGACTTTTATGTCATAAAGATAACATCACTACCATTTAAAACACATGAAAAGTTTGAATTGAGTGAAACTAAAATATCATCTTATATGAAAAGTTATTCTACATCCTGTATCAATTTCTTTAACATATTGCACTATTTCAAATGTACATCAGTCACTGTCAAAATGGGTATCGCTATTTAGTGTCTAGAATTTGTCATTCACTAGTTTGAGACCTTTTTCTGTCAATATAACCTTCGCTTTCATGTCTATATCATTGTTAATTTCGTTTTTTATGTATGGGCTATAGTTGCACTGTAAGAATGCAACTATAGCGTTAGCCCACACATAACTATCTCATAGTTATCTAGCCTGGTTACCAAACCTATTATAGCTCCCGAGTCCTACATCCTCTCCGCAAATAGATGTAGGACTCGGGAGCTATAATAGGTTTGGTAACCAGGCTAATAGTTATCAACTTGTAGCTTTGATTTGTATTCAAACTCCGTTCTCTTGCACCTCCCCTCTCGTGGCACATGACCTGTGGAGAAAAGTCGGGCTCTACTGAGCACCGTTAGCCAATTATTTCCGCATTGATTTTGTGATCCTTGGCAGATGTGATGAAATCGGGTGAATCGGTCTTGGATCAGATTCCTCCGCCACGTGACGTTCCCCTCAGACAGTGATGCGGTCGTAGATCAACCTGCTTCGCTGCAGACGATTTGGCGCACCGTCCCGACCGTGCCATCCTGACACAGATGTCACCCCGGGGGGCCCTCAATACTGACCTGCTGACGTAAAATCAATTGACTTCTGTGGAACTCGTGTAGTTAAAGGGCGGTCTGGGTTTGCGGACGACCTGTCTGTGGGTCAGAGGTCACGATGATCGATAAATGACGATTCGGTTCTGATGAAACCTTCACGAGCAGGCTGTTGCGAAATTCGAAGTGATTTATTGCATTTTAATTTGAAGCAGAAAACTTTCAGTTCCATTTTTACTTCCGGCTACGGAAGTATTGCTTTGGGTGGCTGCGCTATGGGTTTGTGGGTTTGAGTATCTTTTTATCCAGACAGAGCAGGTTGACAGCACATGGGTGAGAAAAATTGACAGGCAGAATGATAGGAGGTCAAAGATTTCAGAATCTGGTCGGGGCCAGTAAATGGGGGAAATTTAGGAAGCCGAAGATTGCCTACTTCCCTGAAGTCTGAAATTTCCTATTTTTGTCTAGTCAGGAATTTGTTTGTATTTCTCATGATGGCTATAATTTCATTATTCTTACCATATTCTTATAGATATCTCCCCTTCGTGGGTCTGGAGTTCGGAGGAGAGTGTTACTGTGGGAGGCAGTTACACCGAGGTCCCGCCTCCCTGCCTGACTGTAACGTCACGTGCCCAGGCCACGAGAACAGCACCTGTGGCGGGGTGAACCGGCTGACAGTCTACCACATCCACCCCAGGGCCATGGGACGGCCTCCGAAAGACAGACAGAGAGTGGAGCTTGGGATACTCAGACCAGGTATGTAAGACGTACAGGGGTTGGTAAGACAATGAGCATGCATCCATCCCATTGGCCAACAATCTGGCTGAGTGGAACTCGGGATACTAGTACTCAGACCAGGTACTAGCATGTAAGACAGGGGTTGGTTCGACAATGGGCAATTGGGCATGTATCAAGTCATCTCATTGGCCAACAGCTTAACTTCAAAGACCGACAGAGAGTAGAGCTTGTGATACTCAGACCAGGTATGTAAGGTATACAGGGATTGGTTAGCAATGAGCATGTATCAAGCCACCTCATTGGCCAACAACCACGATTTAATGTCTTCCTACTAAGTCATTTAGTACATGATATACTGTACATCTCCTGACCTATTGAGAAAGTTGATATCATTGCCTATATAACGATTGATTGGGTGATTTGAATCGCCTCATTTAAGCTAGAGAATAGAGTGCTAGAGCCATTATACAAATGTGTACCGCTAGGATGTCTTGATAACTATTCAATGAATAATACATGCAGCAGGACTATGATAATTACTTCCTTGAAGCATTTTTGCTTCCTCAGAATCATTTATTTCAATCCTAAGATCTATAGACGATCAAGGCGGCTTGCCCTAGCTACTGTCTCTGGATCATCATTCAATCTTCCGTGGATGTTATCTTCCCTGCCCAGCTGTGTAGATGTAGTGCCATATTTGTCCTGTCCCCGATCTAAAGGTTACGGGTTCAAATCCCAGGTTAACTCCGAAGCCGAAGACGAGATAACCTTAGCTGTTTTGCCCTTTCTTTCACAAGTGCTTTTGAATAAATCCATTCAGATTGTGTATTTATGTAGTTCATTTGACCTTTGTGAAAGACCAGTGGCTTCTTTTTGGTACATTGATATTTTCCTGCGTTGAACGCTGAAGTTACCACTTCGTGAAAGGTCATTGGAAGTGTTCAGGCCTGACAGGGAAAACAAACATTGACTAATGCAGCAACTTTCCTAGCCTGGGTACCAAACCTTTGGTCGGCTTGGCGGTAATTTTTCGGCCCCTGCCTTTACCAAGCACAGGCGAGTTATGCCACGGACCTATCTCCAGCTGGTTTCCCTGTATCCGCTGACTTCTGTATTACGCTCATTCTTCTATTGCCGCCGAGCGAAGAAACCTAAAACCTTAGACGCGCAGTAATCGAGACCTGGTTGGCGGCCCGAAACGCTCTTGGCACCGAAGAGAGATCTAGAGCGCTGAGCTCACGGCGGTCTGGTAACCAGGCTACAACTTTCCTATCATGTTTTTTTTTTTTAGCAATTATCATATTCCTAGGAAACATCTATATGAGATCTGTTAAAAATAAATATCTGTCGTATTCGATATCATCATCTGTATTTTGGACAATTTTATTATTCTAAATTCAAATCTCGAAATTTGCATTACAGTCCATTCAACTGGTCAAGTGCAGATTTCGGATATTTTGGGGTTGAACAAGTACCCGCGTAGGTATGTTCTGCTTCATTTCGGTTTATTTCACATTTTATATCCACCCGTCTCCCGCAGACCCTCGGTCCCGAGAGCGTTACCTGGACGCGGAGACGGAGGAGGCTTACCGGGGCTGCTACCCTGTCCCGCCCGGGCCGGGGCTGAAGCACGCCGCCTCCATGCCTGTACGGGACCATCTCCTCACACCGAGAAGATGTCGTCTGAGTTGTCACCAGCAGGTACGTACGCACGTATTCAACATATAGAGCTATTACACTGTCCGAGCAACTTTATGGAATAGCAGCGTTATTAGCTATATAGGTTAGGAGACTAAATAGTTTTCAAGTTTAACTACTTTAAAGAGCAGCTTTCAAATCAGCAACTTCCTGCAACTTCATGAATGCTCCTCTGCTGTTTATAAGTCAACCTAAAACTTTTGCACCGCTTGAAGCACGGGGGACTCTGCGAGATAATTTCGGTCGCATTTCTGCTTGTCTGCATACACGTTTCGAAATATTAAAGTCTACCGAACAACCATAATTTCATTGATAACTGCACCCTGTTAATGTTAGCGGCCCGTAATATTATATAGTCAGATTACAAATATATTCAAGTACAGGCATTTGTAGTTTGTACTCTGTAGTTTGTACAATTCGCTAACTTTTTTCAGGTATACACGCTCGCCCTCGTGAGGAATGCCACAGTTTGCCAGTGTCTGAACGCGAGCGCCACCTGCCGACTCAACAACGCATCGTCAGATGAAAACTGCAACTTCAGCTGTTCAGGGAACGAGCGGCAAAAGTGCGGAGGGCCCTCACACATGTCCGTGTACAGGACAGAAATTGAAGGTATGTGAAATATGACATAGCTTTCTAATTGTTTTCTTTCCTATCGTTTTGTTTTGTTCTATTTCGACGTGCCCTGTCCTCCTATCATTTCATAGTCCTAATTTGGCGTTTTCTGGTATCATTACTTATAAGCTTCGTTTTCTATGCCAAATGCACTTCAATAAACAGGCTTTAGGGGTAAACAAATACAATGTAACTGTCAAGATGCGTCACTTTCATTCTTACTGCTCTCCAGTAATGATATGCACCAATAGGAAGCGAACCTACAGCCCGTGCTCTAACCTAAGGGTATCAAGTTTCGTTTGGTTTCATATGGCTCACGTCACTTTACAAAAGAAAGCAAATCACCCGAAAAGTTGACGAATTGCTGGTTCCCGCATTACCGAGTAGGTGCGAAATCTAGCCAGTAAGACGAGCCTCCTTCAGTCAGGTAAAAGTGCGTTAGTCCTGACTTGACATTCCTGAGTCTGCGGCAAGTGTGCCTCCGGCCCTCGGACCTTAGACAGCTAGGTCTCTGCATAACATTGACGTTACTTTATTAGTAAAAGCGTCAACTGGTAACTTTCTGACCCTTAAACAGAAAAACGTTCGAGTCATTTGAGAGACCATGCAGCATTGCAATCCTAAGAGTCTAAATGAGCGTGCGCTGACACACACACACACACACACACACGCACACACGCACACGCGCACACACACACACACACACACACATACACGCACGCACAAAGGCAGAGTGATGGAAAGAATATCGAGACTCCAGTGTAGTATACACAATTCTTGTTAGAATAGTGACAGTTCAATATGCGTGTAAGCTGTACACCGTGTGTCTGTATAATTATACATCAGCAGAATAAACAAGCTTAAGACGGCGGACACCGGTCATGCAACCACTTAAGAAGGAGGAATGTCTTGAAACTCAATCACCCTTGGGAGGCAAACACTATAAGACTCCCTAGATCCCTCTAAATTCCTTCCTTTGTATCTTAAGCTTTTCCCGTTTCCTCAATCTAATATCTATGTATATACATGTATGAAGATAATGCACATGTTTATAAAAGTTTGTTGTATAATACTTGGTCAAATAACACAAATCTACGTTGTATCAATATCAATTACATTTTGATATATTTCCAGTCGGACTTGCAAAATATAGGCAAGATATGATGCTAAAAATAGTCTATGTTATCAAAATTTTGGTATAAGCGATACAAACATTCAATATTCAACGGCGTTCCAACAAAAGCGATGTAAGATTATATTTGCCATTTGCTTTCGACCGTAAAGTGTAATTGTAAGACAAGACATCCTACACCCTTTGACGGTAAAGACAAGATATCCTACCCTCTTGGAAGAACAGAATAGTATAGCCTGAAGCACAATGCTGGTAGAAACTGGGCCAATGCTCTGAATATTGGAGCACAGGCACTTTTGTGCACATTAAACAATTGCAGAACGTATGCCATTCTGTCTAACTTCTTTGTGCCACGAAAGTTTTAATTGCAGAAGCGTTAAAAGCGTCTGAAATTCGGTGATGCGCTGTACTCTCTATAAACATAATCACATCAAAGGATTTTCACAAGCCTTAACCTATTAATCTGACTGTCTAGTTATCGACATCATTATCAACCCTGTGGTTAGTGATTAACCTTAATGACTGCCTTCCTTCAACCACCTGTTAACAGGTTGATCTGGTCTCGTCAAGTTATGGTGAGATGTTTTTCTAGTATCATAGCGACCTGGCACAGATAGTGGATTGCACCGGACTGGAAACAACAGGATGAAGTGTGTGTCCGCGCCGGCATGACATGCAGTGTTCCGTGCGACTTCCCTGTCGTACGTTTGTGTCGACGTCACGCGGAACATTTTGCTTTACTCGGTAGCTAGAGTCAACAGGGACTACTGGAAGAGTTGGTGGAGTGTTTTGATAGAGCAGGGTATTTGGCAACACTCGCTGCATTCCTGCTTTGGGCCATTTCGTTTTGACTTTGACTTGCAAGTCAAGAATTTTTGAGCGGCTGCGAAGTCATTCCAAAAGGATTTTTCTACTGTCTTGTCGAGTCAAATCTCCTTGAAAATGAGCACGAAGACCCTCCTGATCCTTCTCCCCGTCTTCGTGGCGTATCTTCTGATAGGAGGAGGAGTTTTCCACGTCCTTGAGAGCGCGGAAGAGATAAGAATTCGGGAAAGAGTTTTCGGACTCCAGAAAACATTTCTCGGCGGAGACTTAGTGGACGCCTTACAGCCCTTCTGCGCTAAGGACGCCGGGGAAGGGTACGATACAGCCTGTTGTGTTCTCAGGTCCAACCTTACCACCATACACGGTTTCATGCAGTGGTACCTGCAAGAGACTTTGGACAACCTGACAATCAGGCAAACGGACAACTCCAGCTGTATTGCGATGGAGGGTCTGCCGCTTCTGATCATCACGCCTGACCAGTTGAAAGACATCGTGGACGTCGTTGGCTTGTCGATAGACCGTGGACTCGACCCGAGGAGCACGGAGGGACAGAGTACCCCGCTAAGTTGGGACTTCCTGGGCGCGTTCGGCTTCACCATCACGGTGGTTACCACCATCGGGTACGGGAGTATATCGCCTGTTACCGTCGGCGGCCGGGTCTTCTGTGTCTTCTACGCCTTGTTCGGCATCCCCCTGACGGCTTTCCTGCTCTCTAAGATCTCCAAGGCGCTCCTGAAGCTCGCTTGCCGTGCGACCGGGAAGGTCTGTCGGGTCAGGCCGCAGTGGAACCGTGATAGAGTCTACAAAGGCGCGCAAGCAGGACTTCTACTCATGGGGTTCATCTTATTCTTCACCCTCCCCACCATCACTGTCTGTACTACGGAGCAGTGGACCTACTGGGAGGCCCTGTACTTCATGTTCATCTCACTGTCTACTATCGGCTTTGGCGACTACGTGATTGGAAACAGGAAGGACATCGAGTACTCTGCCATCTACTTCGCAGCCATGTTTGTGTGGATCCTGGGCGGACTGGCCTATCTCGTCCTGGTGTTCGATCTGATCACGCGAGGGCTGGAGAGCATCGACGGGAAAGTCGAGTCGCTGGAAAAATCGGCTGAGGAGAAGGAGGAAGAACTGAAAGACGGCGTGGAGAACGAAATGAAGGAACTGCCTTCGGTCGAGACCGTGGCGCCGAAACGCAAGGCGGCGGGACACCCGCTGTTTCACCGGCAGAGTGAGGACGTCTCGACCTAGGTTCTAACGTCTAACACCGCGTTTCACGTGAACAACACATGTACTGGTATCTCTATTAGACTTTACCACATGTATATACGATGTATATCAAAGGAGCTTTGAGACACAAAGAGATATTTGTAATATGTATAGCGACGGATGCGATGAGCTTTTGCACTGACAAAAAGACTGTAAGGCAAGACTGTACGATGTCATACGGGTTGCACTGTTATAAATGGCATCAGTAACCTGCTTATTTTGCTGTCATACTAATAGTAAGAGAAGGACAACTAACCGACCGACTAATTCTGACCGACCATCGCACAAATTTTGCTACGTTCAGAAAGTGAAATAAACATTGTGTATGTAGTGCTACAGTTTGATCTCATTTCTTTCTTCGTTTTTTTTTTTTGTACATGTCTGGATTGAATTTCTGTATAGGAATTAGAGCTTAACACCCTGCCATGCGATACACGTGGCACACATATGGACCATTCCATTGCTGCATCATGGAATTCCTACACCCTATCGTCTGTGTTTTATACAGGCTACATTCTTCTCTGAGTAGTGCCTGTTCGTGGCATCCGACAGTCTTCTTTAGTGTAAAAGACAAACCAGTAGAACAATTCATTGTTGCCCGGGGAAGCTTTAAAGATCACCGAAACGTCGGCAGGCAAATTATCTTAGTTTTAAAAGAATTACATTATCCGTGTATCTCTCAACTTTTTAAGACCTATATGGGACTGTAAAAAAATCATAAACTAACCAAATGATAAAAAGAAAACTACTAGCTGTTGTTTCTTTATTTTGAGACCAGCCCACCGCTGTTTCGGGTTGATAAACTCCATAGAAGAGTAATAGAAGACGGGGAACAGTGAAGAATTAGACCGTGCCTACTGTAGGTTTATACAGAAAACAGTACTAATGACGTGAACCGTGATAGAGTTGCGGCTTCCGTTTTAATCTTATTCCAACCGTGTCTGGCTTGAATGACATGAAATGGAATTTACGCGGGGACCGAAGAATCATTGTAAGAATCGTAGACCGGATTTGATAGAGACAGTATTAGTAAGTGTTGAATGTCACTCCAGTAAAGGTGATTACATCTGTTCTCTCACCTCTTTCACATGTGTGGTGAATTTTAATAAACAAAGCATACAGCATACAAGCCTATTGTGTTGCATGTGACGTCACAACAACAATGCAGGTTGGTTGAACCAAGAAAGAAAAGTCAGGCCTGTAAAGTTACATGACATTTACAGATCGAAATTTACCCATGAGCCTCCATGTTTAGCCATCCAACATGGCGGACAACACGTACACCATAGTCACGTGAGTGCAAGCCTCCGATAGCATGTTGGTGTTTTTTTACACGACTTTGTGAACAGTTTGACATATTCACTATTCACTACTGTTTTACAGACCGCAGGTGTGCGACAGTCGGGTTCCTGCCGGACCACAGCTGGCCGCTAGTGGCGCTGGCGAGCTACCCCGGATCCGGTAACACGTGGGTCCGCCATCTCATAGAGAGGGCAACCGGCATCTACACGGGCAGTTATTATAATGACGGAGACCTGTTCAATAAAGGCAAAAAACAGTTTTAAAAATCATTGATCAATGAACACATTCAGAGTTTGAGTTGAACAAGGAGCTTCTTTTGTACTTGTAGAATGATTTTCAGCACCAAGGACAGGAGAGTCTGTAACTATATCATAGAATAACTTGATATTTGTATTCTTATCTTTCTTAAACAGATAGTCAAATACCGAGGACAAAACCGAGACACACCTGATAAAACAATCCTTGCAAAGACAAATTAAGCTTTGAATTGAAAAAAAAAAGTTTCAAATTTGCTGTAATGCCAAACCTCTTTGGCAATACATATCGCAATGTATATTGCAATCTGTTAGTTTTTCTCCTCAAGTCCTTTATGTGTTTGTTTGTTTGTTTGCTGTAAGGGTTTCGAGGTGAGCGGGAGAACTGGTTGCGGAGGAACACGGTAGCGGTGAAGACCCATCGGTTCGACCGAGCTCACATCGAACAGTTCCACAGCGCCATACTGCTCATCAGGAACCCGTACAGCGCCATGTTAGCCGAGCACAACCGGAAATACGCAGGGCACACCGGCCTTCCGGCCTCAAAGTACTACCAGCTACACGGTAACGTTGTCGTTTTTTCCCTTTGTACTCCCGGCTTATCTATCTCGTGTAATGGACATGCTAGGGTCATGATTCTTGGTGGCAGATAGCTCTTGGACACACAAGTGAATGATGTAGGTTTGGGCTCCCTAAAACTGTTTAGAATTTTAAGATGCGCGCCTTCTCTTTCTATCAATTAACAACGACTTTTACAATAGATCACAATAGGCTTAGGGAATTTTGAAAAAAAGGCCAGTTTTTTATAGTCGCAAGAACGATGAGATTTCATAAGATGCTTTTCCTTGTCTTCAACCCCTTTAGCAATGACTTTGACAATAGGGTTAGAAAATATTAAATAAGCCATATTTCATATTTCAGGAAGTTTGCAATTCAGTTTTCGTAAAATGCCCCTTCTTGTCTTTCGGACTTAAAAAATAACGCGTACTTCTCATTTTTTATCAGAATGGAGAGAATTTGTGGATGGACAGTCCCGAACCTGGACCAACACCAACCTAAACTGGCTGCAGTACAGCAAGCGGCTGCTAGTCGTGCACTATGAGGACATTGTGAGAGACACCATGGGCCAGCTGCACAGAATCCTAGACTTCCTGGGTCTCCCTGCCTCGGAGGAAAGACTCATCTGCCTAGAAGCCGACAAAGACGGCAAGTTCAAGAGAAGACGCCATCTTGAATTTGACCCCTACACGTCCGACATGAAAGGTTATACGAACATTTACATCAAAACTATCGACATGTCCCTGAGACTGTATAACCAGACACGTCTGCCACAGGAATACGCGGAGGACACGTTGTAGCAAAAGATATGAGAAAGACACTATTGGCATCGAATTGCTGCTATACGTTTTTACATCACTGTGCCCTGACGATTTGAACCGAGCCCCTGCATCTAGTACCTCCGGGTGTCCTTTCAGAATTTCCACTTTTGTTTACTTTCTAGGGGCGTGTCTAATTTTCCTCTTACGTTTTTTTTATTTCAGAGGAAAAAAACATTGATTTTCACTGACGCGAGAAAAATACAACTGCACTGTTCTGCACATTTTCTTCTGTGTGAATAGTATCAAGTATATAGACGAGGAAAGTAGTGCCTTCCGTAGTCCCAACGTCAGAGGCCAAACTACATATCAACATCTACATAGTGTGGCTTGGTACCAGCAAAAGCGATTTCTTAACTTGAAGTTTTCGTAGTAAGATTTGTCGAGACGCAATGTATGAACGAACGTGTGGAAAATTAGTAAACGAGAAATTACGTATTGTTTTATCCTCAAACCAACAGTGAAAAAACAAAGAAAACGTACAGTGCATGCAAGGGTAGCATAATATGTCAATGTGAAAATATAGACAAACACACAACCAACCCAGTGCCATTGACTCCATTACATGTTTTCAGTTGGAAAGAGTTTATTTGAATGAAAAATACTTTTCGGACAATTCCTGTCGCTTTTTATAGTTAGCTGCCGAGGCTGAAACAGTACAGTAGTCATAGACACCATATACAATTCACGACTCAAATTCTGTTTCAAAGGATGAATAAAGATCTTGAATATGCAAGCACGCCGTTGTCAATGATTCATGTTACTATAATACTATATAATGTAGGTTTATGCAGATTTTATGATATTTGATTTATATTTGGAACTGTCAAAGAAAATATCACATACAGATCTGAGGTATTTTCAACGCCTTAATCATTAGATCAATGCACAACTCCTTCCGTACCCAGCAAATCAGAGAAACACAAACAAATAAACAAAAACAACTTAAACCTTATTCACCACTTGATCTATTTTACGTGATAAGAAAAGAAACAAAGAGAATCATTTCGAATAATTTTTTCACTGATGAGCTACTTATTTCTTTAGCACCATTGTTATTTTGCGGACATAAATGTTGTTTCCTTTTTTATCTGAAACAATAATCATCCAAATCTCTGTCCGCTCCGAACTCTCCGGTTCTGTCGTAGTCGAACTGCAGACCGCTCGCCTGCATGCGCTCCGCGTAGATCCGGTCAAAATCCAGGCTGTTTATGACGAGGAAAAACTTTTTCCAGTTCGCCACAGTTCCTAAATGAACGAAATAAAAAATACATGGAGTACAAACTTGAAAGAGATTGTTTGTGATTGTAAATATCAATGTCATTCAGGCAACATTAGATGTATGTCTGCAATGTATATAAAATAATAAAGAATTGAAAAAAAATGAATATAAGATTGGTGGGAATGCTAGTACATTTGTAAAACTTATGAACGCAACGAAATGTGTTATTATTTCGAGAGAACACACAATCAACAATACATGAAAGAAAATTGACACTCATTTCTAAATATCCGCTGTGCATAATTATATGATGTGCATGTGATTTGACTAAACATACATACGTGCACAACAACTATAACAACGACCCGAATAAAGTGTTTTTATGTGCAATGTTATAATATACATCACGTAGGTGCGTGAGGATGCGGTTGTAACATTACGTCATTTGCTTTGAAGTACGTCATCGCCCCACCTGTTCTCAAAAACTCTGATTGGCTGAAGTCGAAGCGGTCGTCGTTGGAGTAGTTGGTCATGGGGTTGGCCTTCATGTTGTCGAACCGGCAGTGTTTCACGATGGTGTCGACCGTCTGTGGGGGCAGGGGCCTGCTCAGGAACTGTGCCACCCGCGCCACCACCATGTGAGGGTCCTACGGAGAAATCATTGTAAGCTTTGGGTATTTGTGTGTGTATGCAAGTTTCAAAAGCTCTTCTGGAAGATGAAACACCCCCTGAAGTACGGAAACTGAGGGTTTGTTATTTCTACTAACTCCGCTAGACGTCGCCATTGAGTTGTGCGTAACTGGGTCAGGTCAGTCACTTGTTACTTGGTTATGAAGGATGTGTTTTCCATTTACAATACCTTAATAGTTGACGTATTTGTACTCTAGAGTTCAATAGTACAGTACACACTGTATTGTTTGTTTGATCAAGCCTGGCACTGGGGACATTGACACCATACTGAGGAAACGAACCACAGAACGTTTTAAATGATATTTGCTCAAGGTGGAAGCAAGCACGAGAGCAAACATATATTCTCTGACCACAAAAGCTTGTCTATTTACCTTGTGTAAATCTTCATACTTGACGAACAGCATTTTTGTGGGATGTGTGCTGGCGTGGGTCTGCCAGCCGAGGATGTGGTCGAACCAAGAACCGAACTCCACTGAAACAACAAAACTGCAGAGTCATCAAATCTGCATAAAAGCTATAGTCGATGCTAATACTAGTGCATGGCTCATATTTTGGCAAGTTATTCATGCATCGGTAATGTATGACTGAACTTTGCTACAGGAAAGATATAACATAAGAAAGTGGCAACCAATGTATGAAAGCTATTTAGTTGTAGAGTATCTGGTTGGAGTTTTTGGGATTTCAATTCAATGGATGGATGGATGGATGGATGGATGGATGGATGGATGGATGGATGGATGGATGGATGGATGGATGGATGGATGGATGGATGGATGGATGGATGGATGGATGGATGGAAGGAAGGAAGGCAGGTGGGAGGCAGGAGG